GAGAAATAAAAACTACTTCTGTGGTTTTGGGAGCTGGCAGCTTTCAGAGGGCTGTAAGAAGTGGCGTGTAAATCTAAACTGATGAGTACAGACATGCAAACCATAAATCTTAACGTTAGCATCATCTTGCATGTGCTGACTTTGTTCATTGGTGCAACAGAGACTGATGCCAAAATCACTAGTGCTTTGATCTTGTCCAGTACTGAAGCAGGCAGTTGACAGAGAAACAAGGGAGAGAAAGTCAGTTTATCGGTAATTGGAAAAACAGTCAGTTTTAAAGATTTAATTTGGCCAATTGAAGCAATACATAAAGTGGAACAAACAGCATTTTGCTCTGAAAAACTTCTAATTTTCTCTAGAAAACTACTCTAGTCCTGGCCTTCATTGGTCTCATAGGACTAGAAGAGTCACCTCTGCACCATCATAATTACCCTCTTTGTAGAACCCTGTGCAGATACATATTTGTTATCTGCATCCACATCTGCAAAAATGATCTACAGATAACTGCATCCACCTTTGTGGGTGCAGATTCCTGTGAATAGAAAACAAATATCAATAGATTCACAGGGCTCTTGATACAAAACTTGTATCCACATCCGTAGCCACAAAAATTAGCCCCAGATATTTGCAACTACATCTGTGGCTGTGGATATCCGCTGATATAAGGCAGATATCTAGAGAGTTTGCAGGGCTGTATCTATTGGTCCTTGAAAATGAAAGGAAGAAAAGTCTGCAGAAGTACAAGGAAAAGAAGTTCCAAGAGGCAGAATACCTGGAAGCCTAAACTAAAGTGTTGGCTTCCAACTCCTCAGGAGCCACTAAAGCTGACTATACTGATGTGTCAGAGCTCTCCTTTTAGCATAATTATACCTTCCAAATAAGCGGCGGTCACTATGGTGACTGAGGGTACGTCTAGATGGCAGAGTTTTTCCGGGATATGAGAAGTGTGTCCAAGGAACGCATCTGCTCTTCCCAAAAAGGTTTTGGAAGAGCAGACACGTTTTTTCAGCATCCCTGTAAACCTGATTATATAAGGAAGAAGGGATGTTCTGAAAAAGAGGTTTTTCCCCACATTTGGCCCAGCATAGATGGGCCAAATGTCAGAAAAGCGTCTTCCAAAAAAAGCAGAAAAAGTTACGCAAATTGTGGTTCACAATTTGTGTATCTTTTCCCGGAAGAACTGTGTAGTCTAGACACAACCTGAGAGAGCATGCCCAGCCAACATAGTATCATCCACACTCACGTGCCTGTCATTGAAACTTATTGCAGTTGGGGTGTGTTTTTTTTTACTTCCTGACTGACAAGAAATTTACCAACAAAAGTGCTAGTGTGGGTAGAGCCTTAACTTTCCAGGGCTACAACCCTCTCATAACTCACACCTTGCTGGAAGGCTGGCATAAATTCAGCTGTTAGAGGTTGTCTTTTACTTTAAGGTCACACTGGTATTTGGAAAGAAATGGTTACTGTTATACTGAATGGGCAGAAGGGACCCTTAAAAAGTCAAAGCCTTTCAAAATTTAGCCTTTAGTTGTATTATTATTATTACAGGTTGGATCTTCCTGGTCCGCACCCTCGGGACCCAACCAATGCTGAACCACAGAAGGTCAGTATTGTCTAGTGGCATTACTATCATAAGAGCTTATGGGGCTCTTAGAAGATGTTTAGGGATAAATTAGAGCTAAATAATAGCATAGAACACTGAGAGCGAGGACTGGTGGGTGTAAAAAAACTTTATGGGATTGCAGGAAGCTTTGCCACACCCATGATAAATGGACATCTGGCTAACTAAAATCATGCCAGGACCCGGATACTGCTGGACCAGAGAGTACCAGATTAGAGAGGTTCAACCTGTACTAAATCTGAATTTTACCTTGTGCTGTCATTTACCTGTGCAAAATTAATAATCCATTTTTAAACTACTTTGCTTAAACCAATGTAAGCACGTTTGTTTCAGTTTAAGGGTGACTGAATTTTGTGTAGTGTAAACTGATTAGAATAAGAAAAAAAATATCTTATTGACTCTATATAAAACCATAGTACACTCACATTTTGCTTACTGCGTACAGATGGGATCGCCTCATCTCAAAAAAAGATAGATTGGCATTGGAAAAGGTTCAGAAAAGGGTAACAAAAATGATTAGGGGTTTGGAACAGGTCTCATATGAAGAGAGATTAAAAAGACTTGGATTTTTCAGCTTAGAAAAGAGGAGAGTAAGGGGGGATATGATAAAGGTCTATAAAACCATGACCGGTGTGGAAAAAAGTGAATAAGGAAAAGTTATTTACTTATTTCCACAATATAAGACCTAGGGGTCACCAAATGAAATTAATAGGCAGCAGGTTTAAAGACACAAACAGGAAGTTTTTTCCAAGCAGCGCACAGTCAACCTGTGGAACTCTTTGCCAGAGGATGTGGTGAAGGCTAGAACTTTAACGGGTTCAAGAAAGAGCTAGATAGATTCATGGAAGTTTGGCCCATCAGTGGTTATTATCCAGAATGGGTAGGAATGGTATCCCTAGCCTCTATTTCTCTGGAGGTGGGTGAAAGGGGAGGGATCACATGAGGATTACCTGTTGTGATCCCTCTCTCTGGGGCTTCTGGTATTGGCCACTGGAGACAGGATACTGGGCTAGATGGACCTTTGGTCTCACCCAGTATGTCGTTCTTACGTTCTTATGTTCTTATGATTTCTAGCTGATTTGAGCCAGACCAAAATAAAAACTTCTACACTGGGCTTTGCCCCAGTGTAACTAAATGTGTTTAGTTAAATCAGTGCAATTTTCTAAAGTAGGTAAGACCATCAGGTATATCTCTGCTGCAATGGTCTGACTGCAACTGAGGTAGGCATATCCTGGCTGGTTTTAATCTAACTACACAGCTCAAATAGCAGCAAAGGCATGGCAGTATAGACCCTGGCATGGGCTAGCAATGCGACTACACAGTCAGAATTCTGGAGGCTTGTCAGCCTGTAATGAAGCCCATGATGCTAGGGCAGCGGTTCCCAAACTTTTCCAGATGGGGACCTATTTTGACAATTCAGGAAGACTTGGTGACTCAAAGCAATTAAAAAATGGGGGGTGGGGGGAGGAGGAGGGACAGAGCTACCTGGGGAGACACTTGGCGACCCTTTTGAAATGTAATGGTGATCCATATTTGGGTCTCGACCCATAGGTTGGGAAACCCTGCTCTAGGGCTACTCTGCTATAGTTAGCATGAGTATGCCTACCTGAGCTGCAAATCACACCTTCGATTGCAGTGAAGACATAGGCTGAGTTATTTCACAAAACACTCTTCTTCCAGGAGAATTATAGCCTATGGTCAGATATATACATCTCTCTCTCTCTCTCATATATTTGACTGAAGCTAAAGGATGGAACTCTTTGTATTCCTCAAGATGCATACATTATTCATCCAAACACATGATCTTTTTGTTTTTACCAGCACCACCTGCATCTCACTCATCCCTATCCTATATCTTTCCCCTTATATTGTGCTTTAAATTGTTAATTGCCATACATTATGGATATATTATAGAAATAAACAAACAATAATGAGTAATCTCGGGTGCACCTTCTTAAACATGATACTAGCTTCATAATAGTTGTCACTCTTGCAATTTGCACCTTTTTAATATTTAGTACTGTAACTCAAAAAATAGAGCAGGAACAGTCTAAATTCTCTTTGGAACTGCAAGCCCAAAAGAATGTTGGTAAGAAAGAATGTTCATAAAATGGATTTTCTATTGAGCCCTCACAGGCTGATTACTCAAGAGATTTGCTCAGTACAGGAATGGCAGCAGGAAACTAAGGAGTGAATGAGTATGCAATCTGAAGACTGTAGGCTGAAGATGCCAGAAATTCTTTGGTTGAACAATGATTCCTTAGCATCATAAAGACCAAGGGAGAGTAGTAGATTCTGGAGTGTATTTAATTATTCTTTGTTTTCCAGTAGCACTTACAATGCGCTAGGCTCAGGGTACAACCACAAGGAATACACAATCTCTGCCTTCAAGAATTTGCAATGTAAGTGGACAAACAACAAGGGTTGATGGGAGAGGGTTATATTTTTACATATGTTGTGTTACCATAACACAGATATCAGTAGAGTCCAGTAAATAACACTTACCTTTGCCATTTGCACACAAAAATCAGAAGGAAGACTATTACTAAAAGGACTGCCAGCACAGAAATTAAAAGGATCGCATGGTTTGCCAGAGGCTTTATATCATCAGCACATGAATCTAGGCATAATCACAAAAATAATATTTTAAAATGTCATGTTTTTATAATGTAAATTTATAAACGTGCCTATTACAGATATTCTCTTAGGCTATGTCTAGACTGCAAGCCTCTTTCGAAAGAGGCTTTTTCAAAAGTATCTTTCGAAAAAGCCTCTTTCGAAAAAGAGCGTCTAGACTGCAAGCAGTACTTTTGAAAAAGCAAGCCGCTTTTTTGAAAGAAAGCAGCGAGTGAGTCTGGATGCTCTCTTTCTAAAAAGCCCTGTTGGCATTCAAGAATGCCTTTTTTCGAAAGAGCACTTTCGAAAAAAGGCGTTCTTCCTCGTGAAATGAGGTTTACCGCCGTTGAAAGAAAAGCCGCATTCTTTCGATTTAATTTCGAAAGAACGCAGCTGCAGTCTAGACGCAGGTGATGTTTTTTCGAAAAAAGGCTACTTTTTTTGAAAAAAAACCCTGAGTCTGGACACAGCCTTAGAAATAATGTAAAGGAAGAGACAAGACAAACTAATTTAAGTCTAGAAAGCCACAGTTCCTTTACTCTTGTCATGAAAGGCCATTTTGTGGTCCTAGAAATGCAAGGTGGGAGAGGTAATATTTTTTATTGGACCAACTTCTTTTGATGAGAGAGGCTATCTCTACATTATAGACCTTACAGAGACAGGGCTGTACCCTATTATTTTGCCAGTAAAAGGTCTCCTGTGTAGCCACTCTAAGCTGAAGGGAGAGAGTTCACCTGCCAGCATAATTAAACCACCTGCAACAAGTGGCATTAGCCATGTCAGCAGGACAGTCTCGCCTACCCACCTTGCACTGTCCACACCTGCACTTTGGCTAATGAAACTTATGTCAGTCAGGGCTATGCTTCTTTCACACCCCTGACTGACAAAAGAGTTGCTGACAAAAGTTGGAGCGTAAACAAAACCTGAGGCAAAGCTTTTGAATTTACACAGAGCTTTTCTCTAGCTCGAGGAAACTAAGGCCGTGACTGCACTACACCGTTTTGTCAACACAGGACAACTTACACTGACCTAATTATGGAGGTGTGCACACTACAATGCTCCTCCCTCACGCCTACTATGCTGACATAATAAAACTACCTTGAGGAGAGGCGTAGAGCTCAGGGCAACGTAGTTAGAGTCACGTTGTGTCAGTAGAAACACTGCACTGCTCATGTTGCCCTAAGTGACCTGCAGGAAGTATCCTGCAATGCCTATCCTGACCACTCTGGTCACTGTTTTGAACTCCAACGCCCTACAGCCAGGTACATAGGGAACACACTTCCCATGTTAAAGTTATGAACTTGCTCTTCCTGTTTGCTCAGTGCGGAGACCCACATAGCAACGGCCCCTCTGGCCATGCCAGCTCCATGAAGGAAAACATGCTTCTGCCTGGAGTGCATGGGAGGTGGTGGATCTTCTGGGTCTGTGGGGAGAGGAGACTGTGCAGTCACAGTTCTACTTCAGACCCAGGAACTTGCTCAGGAGGAGAAAGGCTATGACAGGAACGTGCAGCAGTGCTGTGTAAAAATCAAAGAGCTACAGCGGGCTTAGCAGGCAGCAAGGGAGGCAAATACTAGCCTCTACAGGAGGGGGCTGAGGTCAGAGTGGGGGGCAATAGCCCCCTGTTAAGCTCCCCTTACAGCCTTGTGTTCATAACACACAGCACAATTCCAAACCGCAGTGCAGGAGCCATGCAGTCTGACACAAATGGCTGGCTCACAGGTTACCAGGGCAGCTGAAAAGTGACTGGAAATCTAGTAGGATGCCCATGGAATGATGGGATTGAGAAACCTGCATCACCTGCAACCTCCCCCCAGAAGGAACTGCAAACCATTCTCAAAACACCCTCTGGCCATTTGCACAGTGAGGTGGCTGCCCGTAGTGTACTGCTCTCTGTGTCAATGCAAGAGCTGCTACTGTGGTGCACTCCACCAATAGTGGGAGCATAGTGTGGACATGCAGTAGCAGTTTAATTGCAGTGTGGCTGGATGTTGACATAACTTAAGTTGACTTAACTTTGTGGTATAGACATAGGCTTACTCAGAATGTCATGCCTATATCCAAGAAGGAGTAGGTTGTTTAGTATAAGTAGCTAACATATTTCAACAAATCATTCAAGGTGAAGTAACCTGTTAACATCCCTCCAGTCATAGGGAGGAAAGGAAGAGAGCAGGGTTCCCTGTAAGGTTCATGCCTGCGCAGGCACACACCAAGAATTTCATTCCCACCCACCCCCTCAGCAGAGCCACACAGTTGTGGCCCTAACTGCTCCTGGGGGTGGGGCCACATGGCGGGTGACTGCCCACCCCAGGAGCAGCTTGGCAGCTACCATGCGGCCTGCGTGGCAGCTACCAGAGCTAGATGATGGGCCACGGTACTGAAAACAGCACCATGGCCTGGCTCCAGTTTTGGCACACTGGGCAGCCACCTGCCACATGGCTCAGTCCCTGGGAGCAGCTGGATACGTGGCTACGTGGTGCCTGTTGGGGCCAGGACCACAGTACTAAAAATTGCACCACGGCCTCAGCTCGAGTCCCGGCATATGGGGCATATTGCCCTGTGTGCCTGGACAGAGCCAGGCCATGGTGCAGCTGCTCTTGGGCCAGGGCTGCAGTACTAAAAATAGCACTGTGCCTTTTCTCCAGCCTTGGCACAGACAGCCACCCACCATGCAGCCCCACCTGGCAGGTGCAGGTGTCAGGATGGCAGAAGGGAAGGGGCAGGGGAATAACTAAGGGGAAAGTGGGGGTGAGGAGAGGAAGGGGTCAGGGCAGAAGAAGAAAGGGGGGCACCAAGGTGGAGGAGAGACAAATGCCAGCGGGCCAAGAGGAGACAGTGAGGGGAAAGGGCAGGAAGAGTGGGGGAATGGGAAGGTGTCAGTGGGGATAGGAGAGGGGAGTGACAAAGTGATTCTGGGAGACGAGAGGGGAAGGGCAATGGGGTCAAGAGAGAGGAAGAGGAGAGGGGAGGAGCGGTGTTGGGAGAAGAGTGGTTGAAAGGAGGGGTGGGCATGAGGAAAGCAGGGGTTGGAGCAAGTCATATGTGAGGGTGCAGAGGGGCATGAGAACTGGGGCAGAGAGTGGTGAGGGGGCAGGCAGCAGGGAGGAAGAGGGCAAGGGGGCAGGTGTTGGGAGGGCAGAGGCAATGAGTGAAGGGGGAGGCACCAGGAGGATGCAGGGGGTAAGGGAAGGTGTAGGTTCCAGGGCGATTGTGGGGTGAAGCGGAAGGATAGACACAGGGAGCGGAGGAGAAGGGAGGGAAGGGGAGTGGAGGGACTGGCACCAGAGGGCAGAGGACAGAGGCAGGGCAGATGGGTAGAAGGAGGTGTTAAGCGAGGAGATTGGGAAGGGAGCTAGAGGAGGGGTGGGAACAAGGGGAAAGGGCAGGTGCAGAGGTCAGAGAGGATGGGGAGAGGGGCAAGACCCAGGAGAGCAGAGGGCAGTGAGACAAGCAGGAGCCAGGGCAGCAGAGGACGGGGAGGAGTGGGGTATATGGGAGACATGGAGGGGAAAAGGGAGAGGTTTATAACTTTGGTGCCACAGTGGCACACATACAAACAAGCACACATGGACTCAATATTGGTGCACAAGACAAACCTCACTCTGCTCATGGATGGAAAATCTTCGGCTATGTCTACACTACAAAGATAAATCAGAAAAACAAATGCAATTTGCAGTACACAATTTGCATATCTTTTCCAATTTATTTCTGAAAGAGGCTTTTCCAAAATTTGGCCAAACGGGGCCAAATTTTGAAAAAAAACAAACCCTCTTTCAGAACATCCCTTCTTCCTCATAAAACAAGGTTTACAGGGTTGCCGAAAAAATTCATCCGTTTTTCCAACTTTTTCTTTTTTTGAAAAGCGGACACGTTCCTTGGACACGGTAGAGCTTTTCCGGGATACTGGAAACTAAGTCCTTAGTTCAGATTAACTTTAAACTGCTGCGTATAGCCGCGGGCAGTCAGTTCGAACTAAGGGGATTTAAAAATGGTGCCCACCCAGGAACATGCAAATGAAGCCCAGGATATTTAAATCCCGGGCTTCATTTGCAAGTTTGAATGCCTACATTAGCCTCTGTAGTTCGAACTAGGGGGCTAGTGTAGACATACCCTGAGAGATCTAAGCTCCACTGCCCCTGCTCCAAGGATTCTTGAAGGAATTACAGTGGAACAGCTTCAGTAGGTGATACTGCAAGAACTGCACATCAGAATAGTGTACAGCTCAGTGGTTGGGGTGCTTCTGAGAGTTAGCAGAGCCATTTGTAGACGATTTTGCTATAGCAGGTAGAAGGAGGGACTTGAACCCAGAGTCTCTCACAAGAGTAACATAACCATTGGGTAAAAGGTATAGGGGAGGCCCTTCTCCCACCCTTCCCTACTCTGACTATATTTTCCAATAAGAATATGAAAGTAGCTCAGCATTTACCTATTAAGCTGCCATTTCTCCAAACTGTTACCTCTCCCCATTCGCTGCTATAAGGAACGACATTGCAAATTGGTGTACGTCTTTCCAATCTGACACGGAAGGAATAGCACTTTTCAGGATCAAACCCTTGCTCTTTAACTTCGCAACAGACAGATTTTCTAGACTGGATACAAAGATATTTGATCATTAATTATTGCTTTCAACATATTATTCTCAGAGTATTAAGATAGATCATTATAATAACATATATAAAAGATGAACTGACATAAAGAGAATACCCCCAAAATGTTTAGAAGATTTGGACCTAGGAAGTATTTTCATGGTTCAGACCCATTTCTAGTATTAAAATAATGTTACAGTTAAACGAACATAGACTTATAGACTTTAAGGTCAGAAGGGACCATTATGATCATCTAGTCTGACCCCTGCACAGTGCAGGCCACAGAATCTCACCCACCCATTCCTAGAATAATCCTCTCACCTATATCTCAGATACTGAAGCCTTTGAAACTTCGAAGACCCCAAGATGCAGAGAATCCTCCAGCTGTGATCTATACACCATGCTACAGAGGAAGGCGAAAAACCTCCAGGGCCTCTGCCAATCTACCCTGGAGGAAAATTCCTTCCCGGCCCCAAATATGGCGATCAGCTAAACCCTGAGCATGTGGGCAAGACTCACCAGCCAGACACCCAGAAAGTTCCCTATAGCAACTCCTATCATCCCTCCATTGACCTATTTCCAACTGATAATGAATGGTCAATTAGTTACCAAGATCCTGTTATTTCATCCAACCATCCCCTTATCATAGAATCAGAACTGGAAGAGACCTCAGAAGGTCGTCAAGTCCAGCCCTCCGCTCTAGGCAGGACCAATCCCATCTAAATCAACCCGGCCAGGGCTTTGTCAAGCCGAGACTTAAACACCTCTAGGGATGGAGACTCCACTACTTCCCTAGGTAACCCATTCCAATGCTTCACTACCCTCCTAGTAAAATAGTTTTTCCTAATATCCAATCTGGCCCTCTCCCACCACAACTTGAGACCATTGCTCCTTGTTCTGCCATCTGTCACTACTGAGAACAGCCTCTCTCCATCCTCTTTGGAACCTCCCTTCAGGAAGTTGAAGGCTGCTATCAAGTCCCCCCTCACTCTTCGCTTCTGCAGACTAAACAGACCCAAGTCCCTCAGCCTCTCCTCGTAGGTCATATGCTCCAGACCCCTAATCATTTTGGTTGCCCTCCGCTGGACCCTCTCCAATGCGTCCGCATCCTTTTTGTAGTGGGGGGCCCAGAACTGGACACAGTACTCCAGATGTGGCCTCACCAAAGCCGAATAAAGGGGAATAATGACATCTCTGGATCTGCTGGCAATGCTCCTCTTAATGCATCCTAATATGCCATTAGCCTTCTTGGCTACAAGGGCACACTGTTGACTCATATCTAGCTTCTCATCCACTGTAACCCCCAGGTCCTTTTCTGCAGAACTACTACTTAACTGGTTGGTCCCCAGCCTGTAACTATGCTTGGGATTCTTCCGTCCCAAGTGCAGGACTCTACACTTGTCTTTGTTGAATCTCATGAGATTTCTAGTGGCCCAATCCTCCAATTTGTCTAAGTCACTCTGGACCCTATCTCTGCCCTTAAGCGTATCTACCTCTCCCCCTAGCTTAGTGTCATCTGCAAACTTGCTGAGGGTGCAATCTATCCCCTCATCCAGGTCATTAATAAAGATATTGAACAAAACCGGTCCTAGAACCGAACCTTGGGGCACTCCACTAGAAACCGACCTCCATCCTGACATCGAACCGTTGATCACTACCCGCTGGGCCCGGCCTTCTAGCCATCTTTCTATCCATCTTACCGTCCATTTATCCAATCCGCATTCCCTTAACTTGCTGGCAAGAATATTGTGGGAGACCGTATCAAAAGCCTTGCTAAAGTCAAGGTATATAACATCCACTGACTTTCCCATGTCCACTGAGCCAGTTACCTCATCATAGAAGCTAATCAGATTGGTCAAGCACGACTTGCCCTTTGTGAATCCATGCTGACTATTCCTGATCACTTTCCTCTCATTCAAGTGTCTCAAAATGGACTCCTTTATGATCCCTTCCATGATTTTTCCAGGAACCGAGGTAAGACTGACCGGCCTATAGTTCCCTGGATCGTCCTTCTTCCCTTTTTTGAAGATGGGCACTACATTTGCCTTTTTCCAATCATCCGGGATTTCGCCCGATCTCCACGACTTTTCAAAGATAATGGCCAAAGGCTCCTCAATGACATTTGCCAACTCCTTCAGTACCCTTGGGTGCATTAAGTCTGGACCCATGGATTTGTGTACGTTTAGTTTTTCTAAATAGTTCCTAACCTGTTCTTTACCCACCAAGGGCTGTCCATCTTCTTCCCATCTTGCGTCGCTTAGCACAGAAGTCCAGGAGCCGACCTTGTCCGTGAATACAGAGGCAAAGAAAGCATTGAGTACTTCAGCTTTCCCCACATCCTCTGTCACTAGGTTACCTCCTTCATCCATTAGGGACTGCACACCCTCTCTGATCACCTTCTTCTTGTTGACATGCCTGTAGAAACCTTTCTTGTTATCCTTCACATCCTTAGCCAGTCGCAACTCCATTTGCGCTTTCGCCTTCCTGATAACCCCCCGGCATTCTCGAACTATACATTTAAGCTCCTCCCTAGTCATTTGTCCAAGTTTCCACTTTCTGTAAGCTTCCTTTTTGTGCTTAAGTACACCAAGGATTTCCCCTGTAAGCCAATCCGGTCTCCTACCAGGTTTGCCTCTCTTGCTACGTGTCGGGATGGTTTCTTTCTGTGCCTTCAATAAGGCTTCTTTAAAATACTGCCAGCTGTCCTGGACTCCTTTCCCCTTCATGTTAACATCCCAGGGGATTCTTTCCATCAGATCTCTGAGGGAGTCAAAATCTGCTTTTTTGAAGTCCAAGGTGTGTATTTTACTACTCTCTTTCCTTCCTTTGGTCAGGATCCTGAAATCTACCATCTCATGATCACTGCTTCCCAGGTTGTCACCCACCTCTACGTCCCCTATTAGTTCCTCCCTGTTTGTGAGGAGAAGGTCAAGCTGTGCACGGCCCCTGGTCGGATCCTTCAGCACTTGTACCAAGAAGTTATCCCCAACATTCTCCAAAAACTTCCTGGATTGCCTGTGTACTGCCGTATTGGTTTCCCAACAGATGTCAGGGTGATTAAAGTCCCCCATGAGAACCAGGGCCTGCGATCTGGAAGCTTCGCTCAGTTGTTCGAAGAAAGCCTCATCTACCTCATCCACCTGGTTCGGTGGCCTGTAGCAGACACCAACCACAACATCACTGCTGTTTGCTCCTTTAAACCTGACCCATAGACTTTCAACAAGTTTTTCTCCCTCTTTATACTGGAGTTCAGAGCAATCATAGTGCTCTCTTACATATAGTGCAACTCCTCCTCCTTTTCTCCCCTGCCTATTCTTCCTGAACAATCTATACCCTTCCATGACAGCGCTCCAGTCATGCGAGTCATCCCACCAAGTCTCTGTTATCCCAATTAAATCATATTTCTTGGCCTGGGCCAGGGCCTCCAGTTCTTCCTGCTTGTTGCCCAGGCTTCTCGCATTAGTGTACAAACACTTCAGGTAACCAGTTGATTGCACTATCTTCTCCATTCGAAACTGGGGTCCTCCTTTCTCGCTCCTTGCTCTATGCATTTCTTCCCGGTATCTGACTTTCCCACTCCCCTCAGGGTTTTGAGGAGCCAGCTTTTAAGATTTTAAAAGACTCATCCATGCACTGGGTACACAGTAACACTTCCATATGCCTAATTCTTACCCATTTGGACCACTGGATAGAAGCAATGTCTATACTGGAGGGTTTTTTTGGGGGGGAGGGAATTTCTCACTGTTAGTACCACCCTGGTGACTTCTCTGGTGTTGGTAACAGTGGGAGTGCTAGTGTTGACCAGCCTCCAATGGGTACTAGTAGGGATGTTAGAGAGAACTTATTTTAGTAATCGTGTAGCCACAATGATTTTTAGTGGTCACACGGTTACTAAAACGCTCCTCCTCCCCCCCTGGGGGCAAAGGCCAACAGCCAGTGCACTCCTAGCTCGCAGCCCCACTCCCTGGGAGCCCCCTATCACTCTGTGT